CTTAAATGGAGAGATGATTGTTCCTCATGTTCCTAAAAAAACTAGTAGTTTCTAGAATTTCTAAAAGATGAATGGGAGGCAGATATTTTAGTTATTAAAATTGAATTGAGGGTATTCAAGCTAAAATAAGAGCAGCCAAATTTGTTTTGCTTAGGCATGCCACTTCCGGTTGACATCATACACGACCTACTTGGTTCGAAACCTTTCGGTATTCGCAGCTAATGCATTCATTACCTTTTAGCACTCTGCATTTTTGGGAATTTGTTTGTGAATTCATAAACTTGTGTCAATTCAGCTTTATTGCAAGGCAAATAAATCAGAAACACATCAAAAAGTACAATTGTTTCTTATTTATTCTGTTTTGAAGAAAATTACATACATTTTTTCAGTGACTCATATCAATATATTTTCAGTTTTTTAGCTACAGTAGAAGAGTTATAGTAAGACAGAGATTATTGTCTTGTTTCACAAGAGCTGAACACTTATGTGAATGTGATTAGATATTCTGGATATGCCTGAGTATCATGGAAAATAATAAACATTGAGGGATTATTCGCATTGTCAGTTACACTGTCATAAAGGTCTGCACCAGTGCCAGATTTGGCTGGGGGGGCGATCAGGCCAGATTTTCCTCTAGTGTAGTCTCCAATGAGAACCCGGGCCTGGTACATGCGTTTATGACCCAGATTGTCTGGTTTAGCATAACCTCTGGCTGAATATGCAGGATCAACAGCAAAGTAAGAGCCATTACCATACATGGCACCTGCAGGAAATAAAACAGAAAACATGTCATGAATATGGAGATAAATGTCAGTAGTAAAACATTTAGAGGTTAGAATATTTTCATTAATCTCCAAAATCCATCTAAGAAATATAAAACAATTATAGTTGAAATAGTCTATACAATCATTAAAATTAAACTAAAGAATAAATGAAACAGAAGGGGGAGTCCAAATAAAGAGCCCTGTGGTACACCTTATAAGATGGAAATAAAGAGCTTAAAATGGCCCTTTAAAGACTAAAATAATTAAACGTTTCTTTGTTCAGTCTTGCTAATTTAATATACAGTAATGGGTTTTACCATGTGCTCCTGCGTAGCTCCGGTTGAAGCCCTTAGAGTTGATGAGGTCAATGGAAGTTGCCCCGGTGCCATGATACAGCAGCTTTTCATTGTTGGTGTGCTTGTTCTTCACCTCCATTAGTTTCTTCTGGAGCTGGTAGCTTTGCCAGAGAGTCGTGTTTTGGATCCGTTCGATCTGCAAACACATTTTAAAACACGTTCATTAATATGAGATGAAATCATAGATCTGTAGTTAGTTGATGTCTTTCATTACGGTGCTATATGTTCATGTGATAAAGTAAATGTAAATTTCAACGCCCTTATACTCTTACATCTCTTCATCTTAATAGTTTATCTAAACAGAGATAATAACACCACATTGAATATTAGAGTTTAAAGGCATTTTACAAGTCCTCTTTATTTAAAGAATTCCATTTATTTACATGTAACCATCATTCACTAATGCAGTTTATATAAACACCAAGAACATTTCATTATCTTTTATCCTTTTTCATAAGAGCAACAGATTGCTTTTACTGAAAAATAGATTAATATTAATTCTAAATGAAAAACATGTTAAACTTTTTAAAAGTAATAGGGCATAGAGCTTGGAATCCTGAGGTTCTGAGTTCGAGCCCCACTTCCACACCCTGCACTCTGGGTCTCTGAGCAAGATCCGTGATGGCAGCCCACTGCTCCCCAAGGGGATGGGTTAAATGCAGAGGTAAGTTCTCCAATGTGAGATCAATAAAGTTCAATTATTATAATTATTGTTTATTATCCATAGCTGGAACTCAAGGACAGGTAAACTAAGATCTAATGTTAGGACTCAATGTTGAACTAAATCTGTTTCGTAGCAGGGTGGCTTTGGGGGTTCAGCACCTGTGTTCATTGGGGGCCAATATTGAAGAGGTGGCCAACTCATCAAATAAAAAAAACAACAAAGAAACACAACCATACATTCTTATCTGAAGTTTTCTTTGAGAGGATAATTAAGCTACCAAGCTCTGGGACAGAACTGCACTCAGCTTAACATTCCTCTTTAAAGCCTCCATTCTGGAACATGTTTGATGTTCTAAAGGAAAACATACTTGTATGATGTTCAAAGCAAGTCCATGGTTGGTGAGTTCTGCTACCACATCTTTGTATTCCTGAGATCCAGCAGTCAGGGGAACCCGCTTCACAATGATGTCCTTCATGTCTTCCCAGTGTTGAGGCAGTGGAGCATCATTGGCTACAGGAAAAAAAGAGCTTTTCATGCATTGTAAACAAAGGAAATAGATAATAATATATTTACTTAAATAACGTGTGTTTGGCTTCTATTTCTTTTTTTTTTTTTTTATAAATTTGCGACCTTTGAATCTGATTGTAATTTCACTTCTCCTGGCTGTCTAATCAGGGGTGGATTCCCAGATTTACTCACCTTTCAAGTCTTTTCTCATCAGCTCTATCTGCTTCTGTCTCTTGGAGGAAGCAGCCCTTTTAAGCCATGGATCAGCACTGAATGTTTCATTTTTTATTTTAATCTTCACACTTTGTTTCATCTCAAAAGCTTCTTCAAGCTGGAGGTTGGTGTGGATGTCAAAGGACTCCATTGATCCATCTTGTTTTAGGAACTTCCACTCTACCAGCCCACTCACCAGTAGGGCTTTGTTCCTCAAGTTCTCACTTCTCTCCACCTTCCGGATGATGTTCCTAGGTACCACCAAAATTTCAATTACACTAAATAATAAGTTCATGACTGAATACCCTTATCAAAGATGGCGTCTGTTTGCTGACCTGATGTCTGACTCGGCTGTTAAGACGTCTCTAGTCAGACCCTCCAGTTGGATCCTGGGCTCCTGGTCTTCCCGTCCTCTTTCCAGACGGATGCTCACTGTCAGCTTCTTCTGCAGGGAATTCAGCTCTTTGATGTCCTCTTGACTTAACTGGTTAATGTACTGGTCATCAATGGTTCTCTGGGCCTGCTCCAGTAGAATAAGATCACTTATCTTCTTCTTGGCCAGGCTCAAATTCTGTGAGGACAATACAGATAACCCTCAACATTACAGCACAGGTTTAGTTTTAGTATCTCTCAGTCTAACAGCAAGAAAGTTCCCTTTGACATTCCAGGTTGGTGCTCTTAGGCTCATGAATGTCCATAAAAACATCTTAATTAACATTAGTTCAAGAAAGAGCAGGATTTACTGTACAATTTGTTGGATTTTCCTTCCTCCACTTGAAATGAAATGGCTAAAATCAGGGGAACATCTTTATCAGCATGTTTTTGGCTTAGTGACACTTTAATTGGCCCAATTCTCTAAAGGTTTGTGTGTATTCAAAGAAGTGCACTTTGGTTTGCAACGAACAAATCTTTATGTAAGGTGCAATGCTATTTGCATGTTCAGGGGACAGTGGATCCAAATGTATGTACATTAATGAGTATGCAGATCACATGCAAATGTTAACACTTAATGACTTACAAAGCAACATATCAAAGCTACAGCCTTATAACATATGAGGCAGTTTTTAATCCATATTTAGTACATTTTAAAGACAAACTCAAATGTATGACTTTTTGCGGTCATTGTGACCAAAAGAAGGCGGTTGTACACTAGCTACGTTTACATGGACACAACTAATCGGATTGAAGGCCTGATCAGATCAAAAATGTTTCATGTAAA